GGTTGGAGCATCCCGCCCCTATACATTAGGCATAGGTGACCCTAGCGATGGGAGCCCGTGTTACGTTTTGGAAACGGGCTGTATTGTGTTCCAGATTCTGCCGGAATAAGACACACACGTTGAGGAGGGTGTGCCAACGCTTCAGTTTCTCACACGAGGAGCGTTTGCTAATATCTGTGGGGACTGACCGAATCGCAGCCCGGTAGTACCGGCACCTGACTCCGCGAGCTCTTGATCTCAAAACAAACCTGAATCTGCTCTCCAGGCCCGAGAGGACAAATTAGATGATTAATATAATCTTCCCACTTCTACTTTCTCTACATCATACCTAGTTCTTTCAAGCAGTGAATATGACTGTGTACCTCTATAAATAATGGAGCCAACCTTGCTTTTGAGTGTGGGTGTTGCTGATGACTATTGTCAGTTAAATGTTGATCTCTCTGTCACACACACATCAGAGCAAAACAAACGGTCCCGTGGGCAAAGACTGTTAGTGCAGGTGGAGAGATGCCTTTGTTGTTTCCCCCTTACGGTTTCTTTATGGTGCTGTTTGCAGGGTTATGCAGCCTGTGGTGTAAGCTCACATCTGCCATAAAACCCCCCGGAAATACGTCCTCCGCTCAGCTTGTGCCTGACCGTCTCGGTTTTCGTTATTCCCTTGTGTCCTTAGGAGCTGAAGAAGCTGGGACTGGGAGATAACGTGGATCTGCACGTCTATGAGGTGCCGGTTGAATACCAGGCAGTGCAAAGACTCATTCCTGCGTTATGGGAAAAGCACCGTCCGCAAGTGAGTAAAGGCAGGAGGAGACGAGACAGGGCAGATGCTTGAAATCCGCAACGAAGCCCCGTTTTTCACGTATGTGCAGACTGGGAGTCCCTCGCTACATCTTTTTCCTCTTTTTTTTTCTTTTCCCATGAGAACATGGGAATTTATAGAATTTTACAGCCCGGAATAGAGCGCTGCAGTTAATGAGAGCGGTGGGTGTGAAGAGGCCGCTGCGAAGGGCTGTCTAGACAGCGCGCAGCCAGGCTGTGCCACCTGGGCCGTGCGGCGCTGGGCTGGGCTGCCCACGTGCCTCCGATTTCCTTCCCCGGAGTAAATCACCATCGAGGCCAGGAGGGGGTGAAACACGAATTGTTCTCTACCAGACCCATGAGTTCACTGATAAAACGACTTGTCGCCGTGCTACGCGTGCAAGAACTCCTGTAACAACTCCGTCAGCCCCAGCGGGGGCTGTTGACTCTCCACCCTTTGTATTCTGGGGAACCTAACTTGTTTCTTTTCTCTCGTAGTTGGTGGTTCACGTCGGTGTTTCGGGTATGGCTACGACTGTAACGCTGGAGAAGTGCGGCCACAACTTAGGTTATACAGGCTTAGACAACTGCGATTTCTGCCCAGGCTCCGAGTGTTGCGTAGAAGGTGGCCCAGAATTCATCGACTCCATTATTGACATGGACATGGTCTGCAAGAGAGTCTCAGCGCTGGGGCTGGATATCATGGTCACTGTGTCGGAGGATGCCGGCAGGTACGGGATGCCAGGGATTGACAGGGAAAATAGGCTCGCTCTGCAAGGCATAGAATCATAGAATGGGTGGGGTGGGAAGGGACCTTAAAGCCCACCCAGTCCCACCCCTGCCATGGGCAGGGACACCTTCCATAGCCCAGGTTGCTCCAAGCCTCATCCAGCCTGGCCTTGGACACTTCCAGGGATGGGGCATCCACAGCTTCTCTGGGCAACCTGTCCCAGTGCTCCCACCCTCTGCGGGAAGAATTCCTTCCTGATGTCCCATCTCCATCTCCCTCTTGCCATTCAAACCCATTACCCCTTGTCCTGTCACCCCCTGCCCTTGGGAAAAGCCCCCCCCAGCTTTCTTGTACCCCCCCAGGCTCTGGAAGGGGCTCTGAGGTCTCCCCGGAGCTTCCCTTCTCCAGGCTGACCCCTCCAACTCTCCCAGCCTGTCCCCATGGCAGAGGGGCTCCAGCCCTCGGAGCATCCCCCCGGCCTCCTCTGGACTCACTCCAACAGCTCCGTGTCCTTCTGCTGTTGGAGTCCCAGAGCTGGAGCAGAACTGCAGGGGGGTCTCCCCAGAGCGGAGCAGAGGGGGATGTTCCTTTCGTGGTCAGGTCATGGGACCCGTACAGTTCTTATGCTTTTCACTCCTCCCGGGGCTGGAAATACCTTCTGTTTTACAGTTATTAGGGAAAAAGAGAGATCTTTACGTTTTGTTGTCCTCAGTTTGATTAAACCCTGATTTCTTGTCCCGATTAAAGCGCTCCCTGGCTTGTATTCCGCCCTGTTGCAGGACAGCGCTGCAACGCCGACCGATAAGGATACAGTCCGTCCTGCCCTGCGGTTTGCACGTCGTGTTTGTCGCTTCCTGCTAAACGAGCTCTCTTCTTGTGTTTCAGATACCTCTGCGACTTCACTTACTACACTTCCTTGTACCAGAGCAGCGGGAGGTCGGCCTTCATTCACGTGCCCCCCCTGGGAGAACCCTATACGGCAGAACAGCTGGGTCGGGCGCTACAGGCCATTATAGAAGAAATGCTTGATGTTTTGGAGCGTTCGGAAGACAAAATCAATTGTCAGCATAAACACTGAGAGGGGGTAGAAGCTATCCTAGTGTTGCACTTCCAAAAGTTTCCCCGCTGCTGGGGAAAAAGGGTTACAGACCCAGAATTGGCGACTTCAAAAAGGAAAATTCCACTTCTAGAAATTGACCTTTTTTTTTGGCAAATGTATGCGTTTCAGCCTAGACAACAAAGGATTCCAAACCTTTTTAAGACACCTGCGAGGACGCGTTTCTGAAGTGACTGAAGTGTGTGTGCTGTGCTTTATCCAGAGCCCATCCGTCAGCCGAGGGGCAGCTCTGGCCCGTCCCGTCCCGCGCGGCGCGGATGGAAAGGTTCTCCTCCGCGCTCGGCGTTGGGAGCGGGGAGTTGGTAACCCGGCCTTCTCGTGACTAATTCTTAAACTGAAAGGTTTTCTTTCCCTTTGGTTGGGGTTTGGTTTTCTTCTTTGGCCCAAATCGGAGGTTATAACGTGAAAGTGTGAATGAAAAGAGTTGGAATGGCGTGGGTTTGTTGTGAAACGGCGCTGGCTGGAGGCGGGGAGTCCTCAGAGTTGCTTTGCTGAAATGGAAAAATACTTTAGGCACTGATTTCTCACCCCACATTGTCCAGTTTTTCATAGGGTCCTCCGGAATGTCCTGGTTCACTGGTAGCTGCAGATAGAAGGGATGTGTTTTGGGTTCCTTTGGTGGAGCAGGAGACTTTTTTGAGGGTTTTTTTTTTTGCAGGCAGGATGGGCCTAACTGGTGCCAAATATTTCCAAATGCCTCTTTTTATTACGCTCTCGCTGCCCCCTTCCTCGCTCAAGTCGGCCGTATACCTCCTGTACAAAACCCGTTGTTTCGTGCGGATCGTTAGCGGTTCAATAGCTTTGCTGAAGGCCACTTTCTCCGCGGCAGGTCTTCATCCCAGCCTCTTGGTGCTAGCTGTCATTTTTAAGGTGAAGGTTGAGCAATTCCTAACGTCCTTAGTTAGAAATTGTCGTTCTGGTTAACGGTTAGGTGAGGAGTAATGTTTAATTTAAGTCGCCTCCTTGATTTATTAGAGGCGTAAATATGGGAACGTGCGGATTCGAAGACGTTCTGCCCCATCAAATCTAAAAACCTGCTCCCGCTCTCTGTAACCCAGAGGGGAATATCTGAAAATTAGGAATTTAGTTAGATGGAGTATTCCGGGCTGTTTATTAGCGTCGCCCTCCCAGGGGGAGGGTACCAGGCGCCGCTGCTTGTGTCAACTTTCCCAGTCAGTATCCCGGGGAACTGCGTACGGGCTCTGAGCAGGACATGGAAAGGGCTTGACAGTCGCCGGCCCGCGTAGGTTTGCTTCCGAATTATGAGAATCCAGGGAAAAACAGGTGATGTAACAGTGGGAACAGGCACAAAACGGGGAATCAATGGCCGGTTGGCCTCGTTCAGGGGCCGTTTAAACGGAGAGGTCTGTGATTTGATTCTAATTCTTTTACAAATATAGAGATATATATAAAAAACAACATTTTGAAACGTTTTAAAATACCATTTATCTTCTTTTTTCTAATCATGAATGATTCTGCTCTAGTATCTCTCAGTGAGAGCTGCCGATAACTGGCTGTTTTCCAGTAGACGCCTGGCGACAAAGGAAGCGCCACCTCTTGTCACCCGGGAGAGAGGACGAGGACTTCTGCGGTTGCGCTAACTTTCCCAAAGGCAAAGACTTTCGGATCGACTGGTGGTTTGCCAAGGGAATTACGGCTGTATTTGCTATCCAGCCTTTCCTGATCAAAAGAGTTTGCCTTCAAAGCAAACGTTCTCTTTTTGCATCCGGATGCGAAGTAGCACTTGTCGGATTGTCAGCCGGCAGGCAGGCTTTCTGATTAGTAATTTATTATATTTAATGTTTTGTTTAAATATTCGTGCTTTGACACGTTTTTGCAAATAGCTGAGCTCCTTATCTTGTAGGTTTGTCCTTTATCCGGTAAGAAGTTCTTTGTCATGGGTGTATCTTAGCTGCTAAACTTGTGAAAGAGGAGTAACTCACGTATTCCGCTAAGTCAGCCGTGGATTTCAGGAATTCCCAGTAACGCTCTTGAATTCACCTGTAACGCAGCGGTGAGCAGAACGGGAGCGGAGGGTGAACAGCTGAAGGAGGCGATAACAAAACGATGACCGCGGTGGGCTCGGAGCCGCCGTAGGAAGGGTTGGCCCAGCGGATCCCGGGAATGCCGCGCTCGGATTGCCGCGGGGAGGGTCTGGGGGCAGGTCGGGCTCTGGTGATCAGCCTCTCTGTGCTTCGTACGAGCGGGCATCCTCGGGGACCCCCTAAATGTGGCTGAGGAGGCTCCGGATTCGTCGGCAGGGCAGGTGGGCCGCGGAGGCTCCAAGGGGAGCACAGCTTTTCGTTCCGCCTGTGGAGTTACGTCCTGCTCGACGCCTGGAGATACTCTTTTCGGGTGCTCGCTGCTCTTCAGGGGGAAAACCTGGAGCCAGTTCCGGCGAGTGCCGCGTGTCTCGGGACGGCAGGAGTTGGCTTTCCACGCGCCAGCGTTAGGAAGATCTCGTTTTGGGGCTTGCTTTGCTTTGGGCGTCGCTTTCCAGCCTGTTTTTCCTCAGAATCCATTTTTTCCGGAGCTTCCGTGTGATGGGTTTCTTAGAAAACGTAATTTATAATCTTTTCTTGGGTTTTGAGAATTAGTCCTCCAAGATTGTATTTGTAAAGGGTGTCTTGGTGGTAGAGAATTTTGTAGAGCGAAACTTTTAAAAACGGCATTAAACGAATTTTATTTAATCCGACCTAAATGAAATACTTCCCCTTTTTTGAAAGTTTTTTTTGTTAAACTCGTGAATACCTAACGCCTTTCCCCTGGGCGCGTCTTCTCCTTGGAAACGGGACGCCGAACTGACGCAGAGCTTCCAAGAGCCCATGCTTTGGGTTAACGCTTTCTCTTCCGGATCATCAGTAAATAGAATTTGCTAATTTGCACTGACTGGGAGACCGGTTGCCAACCACAACCGGTTTGGCGCTGCCGTGCGCGCCGGGGACGTTCAGGTTTAGCGTTAATTCCTGGGCCCGCGACTCGTCGAACGTCAAAACCGGTTGAGTTTGGGAATCCTGTGACTGCCAACCGGGTCCGTGGGGTGACGCTCGGCTGAGGTGAGAGTATCGGGTGTGGGAGAGAGAATTAGGGAGGTTCCACTGTGTCGGGGTTGATGTCGTTTTATCGCCTCGCCGACGGCTTGGAGTAGGGACTGGCCGGCGTGCGGGTGGAGTTTGGTGGTGACAGTTTGTTTTGGTTATTAGATGCTGTGGAGGATTTTGAGGGGCTCCAGGTATTTGTCGACTCCGTCGTAATTGGGTGACGCTGATGTTGGGAGGTATTTCCTTTGAATTTGGGAATTCCCTACTTTGGGAATCTACTTTATAAAAGGCAGCAAAAAGAAACGGCGAGTGTGAAAGTTTCTTTACCTTAAAGACTAGGGATTTGATCATTATGGGTTCCTCGAGGTAATTCTGTGGTGTGGTTAAGGTAAACACCCGTGGTACAGAGGCTGTTTGGGTCTATTTTGGCAGCTTTTGGAAAGGATATCAAAATCTTGAGGATCCT